AAAAAACTTCAATGTTAGGTGATATTGTATTTATGTTTTTGATATCTATCGTTTATTTTAAGGCATTAACTGCAGAACTTGTGAAAACGATTCGAGATATTGTTGCATTAAACCCATTCTATAGGTAAAAATAAAAACCTTGTTTTTTTTCCTAGTCTATTAAGAATTTGTATCTTTGTTATAGAGAATCAATCGCAGCCCTTATTCATAGTGGACAACGAGCTGATCATCCTGTATATTTAAGTGATTTAGGTGCAGCACTCACAAGTGCTGAAGGTGCTGAACAACAAGCTGTTATGGAAGAAATGAATGTATGTATTTATCTAATTTTTCTATCATAAAGAGAAAACAAGAACTTTGTTCTTCTATTGTTTTTCTTTTTTAGATTCCAAATCGATTGATGCTTACATTAAGTTTATTAAAAAAAGAATTAGAAATGAGTCGTCTTCAACAAAAAATTGGTAAAGAAGTTGAAGAGAAAGTGAATAAACAACATAGAAAATTTATGTTAATGGAACAATTACGCGTTATTAAAAAAGAATTAGGACTTGAAAAAGATGATAAAGAAGCTCTGAATGATAAATTTCGTACGAGATTAAAAGTATTTGAAATTAAGAATTCGTCCTTGACTTTTGTTTTATTTGTTAAAATTTTATTTTAGGAACTAAATATACCAGTACATGTTAAAACCGTTATTGATGAAGAATTAGAACGATTAAATGTTCTTGAAAAACATTCAGCAGAATTTAAGTTCGTTTAATATTATATTTTGAAAAAGATTTTTCTGATCATTTTCTTTTGTTAATTTTTTTTCTTTCTAGTATTTGTACAAATTATCTTGATTGGTTAACAAACCTTCCATGGGGTAAAACAAGTGAAGAAAAAACAGATCTTGAGCATGCACAAAAAGTACTCGATGAAGATCATCATGGAATGGAAGATATTAAAAAACGAATTCTTGTAAGAAATAATCAATAAAATATTATTAAAAGTAGGAAGGGTCTGAGCTAGTGCCCTGCGGTTCCAAAAAAATTCGGTCCTCGGTTCCAAAAAAATTGGAACCGAGGACCGAATTTTTCTGTTTCTCTTACCCGGAACCGTGAAAAAAAAGCGAGTAGAACCGGAGTTGGAACCGGGAACCGTTAACTTAGTCACTTGCTATTTTATATTTTACAGTAAAATCATCGGTTCCTTTTTCGGTTCCTAAAATTTTTTCTGAACCGAAAAGGAACCGCTTTTTTTCGATTTCAGGAACCGGAACCGAACCGAAACCGTCGGTTCAGGTTCAGTTCCCGGGTAATGTTAGGAACCGCAGCCCTTCCTCATGAAAAAAAGATCTGTTTCTATTTTTAAATAGATTCTTTATGCACTCTGCTCACGAAAAGAAAGTGTACACAACGTACATTTTACTAGTGTAAACAAAGTGTAATACACATTTTGTTTTCGATTTCTATTAAAAACTCTGTTGGAGACAATCATGAATAAAAGTTTTTTTTTGCTTCTTGTAGGAATTTATTGCTGTTAGTCATTTAAAAAAATCAACACATGGAAAAATTCTTTGCTTTTATGGACCACCTGGTGTTGGAAAGGTAAGTTAATTAAAGAGATATTTTATAAAGATAAATACTCTCTCGACTCGTTTGTCAAGGTTTTTTCTTACACTGATTATATATATAATTTTTATTTTATTGTTTTCTTTTAGACAAGTGTTGCTAAATCAATTGCACGTGCACTCAATCGAGAGGTAAAAACTTCGTATTTAATGAATTGAAGTATTAGTTTTTCGTCTTTTTGTTTAGTATTTTCGATTTAGTGTAGGAGGTATGCATGATACAGCAGAAATCAAAGGTCATCGTCGAACATATGTTGGTGCAATGCCAGGAAAAATGATACAATGCTTAAAAAAAACAAAAACAGAAAATCCACTTGTATTAATCGATGAAATAGATAAATTAGGTCATAGTGGTTTTCATGGTGATCCGGCAGCTGCTTTACTTGAAATGCTTGATCCAGAACAAAATGCAAATTTTCTTGATCATTATCTTGATGTTACTGTTGATCTATCAAAAGTATATGATTTTCTAGACAATGATCTTTTTCTTATTTATAAAATATAATTATTTTAGGTATTATTTATATGTACAGCTAATGTACTTGATACTATTCCTGAACCATTAAAAGATCGTATGGAAGTTATTGAAGTATCTGGATATGTTGCAGAAGAAAAATTAGCTATTGCAAAAGTAATTATAATTTATTAGCATGAATATAATTATCAGGTTTTTTTTTTTGTTTAGAATTATTTAATTCCATTAGCAAGTAAACAAACAGCTGTAGACAATGATAATATCGAAATAAAAGATACAGCTTTAATGCATCTTATTAAAGCTTATTGTCGTGAAAGTGGTGTTCGAAATTTACAAAAACATATTGATAAAGTTTGTTTAAGAAATTTTCATTCTTGTTTTTTGAAAATGTTTATTGTTATTATTTAATTCAATAGATATTTCGAAAAGTTGCATACAAAATTGTTAAAGAAGGGAAGAAGAAAATTGTTGTTGATGATGGAAATCTACAAGAATTTGTTGGAAAACCAGTATTTACAACGGATAGAATGTATGAGTTAACACCACCTGGTGTTTCTATGGGTCTAGCATGGACAGCTAGTGGTATGTTTAAACCATATCTATTACATAAAATCTATCCAGTCATAAAAACTATTTTATAAGACGTTATAGAAGACTATGAGTTTTTTAGAGACTCTTGGTTTTCTAAATTCCAGTTCGGGATAAAAGCCTATGTTTTTTTTCTTTTGGAAGCGGGAGGCTTTAATGGATTTTTTTCAAGTAGATATTATTTGCAGGGATGTCTCGTGGAGGAAGCAATCGGATGCAATAGATCTCCAAAGGCTTCAAGAGACTTCTAGGACTTCAAAACTGATATATCTGCAGCTTCTTCCTCTGGATGTCCTAAGGTCATCAGGATTGAGAGAGAGGGTCGATGACTCAGGATATTGAGAATTGATGAGCAAAAAAACCTAGCAAAACAGTGGGACACCGTCAAAGAAGAACAAAAATTTTTCAAGATCATGAGAGGGGTCATCCTTCGGCTGGGAGACTCGTGATTATTGGAGATTTATCGATTGCGTGTTCTGTATTTCTTGAATTATTATGATATGGTTTGTCTCGAGTATAGTAAAAAGAAAGTTAATCGTCAATAACTAATACTGAAATAGAGAACGAAGAATTACAGTTAATACAAAAAGTACTCGTGCATCTATTGGTTCTTTCTTTGTATTTTTCTTTTCCTGTAATAAGAGCGTCAATATTAAAATTGTTCCTTAGGCACAGAACAAATATATTTTCTCTTTAGCGTTTGATATCCTTGAATATGTACTCTATCTCATACGATAGTCAAGGTTCAGATCCTTCGTAATGATTTGTACATTAATTCCTTATCATTATTATACAAATCTACCAACTAAAAAAGCGCATATAATTAAATGTCTGAATCATTCTATTCAAAATATATATGAATGAATAAATATCTCGATTGTTTTTTTTTCTACTTAGGTGGAAGCGTACTTTTTATTGAATCACGTTTTATCAATCCTATCGAAGCTTTGGATACATCAAAAACTATAATAAAAGATGATAAGAGTAGTGGATTAAGTGGTAGTTTAACATTAACAGGTAAATTAGGTGATGTTATGAAAGAAAGTTGTACAATTGCATTAACATATGCAAAATCATTTTTACAACAAATCGATCCAAATAATCGATCATTACGTATTGGTCATGTACATGTTCATGTACCAGAAGTAAGTATTGAGAAAAAAAAAAGAAGAACGAGAATAGAAAAAAGAATCTTTTGCTTTTAGGGTGCAACACCAAAAGATGGTCCTTCAGCTGGTTGTACAATAGTTACAGCACTTCTTTCACTTGGTTTAAATAAACCAATAAAACAAAATGTTGCTATGACTGGTGAAGTATCTTTAACTGGTCGAGTTTTACCTGTTGGTGGAATAAAAGAAAAAGTTATTGCTGTATGTTTTATGTTTATATTTCTAAATGCCATTTATTTTTTATTTTCTATTTTTAACTTTTCTTTTAGGCTAAACGAGCAAATGTTCATACAGTTATATTACCATATGAAAATCAAAAAGATTATAATGATCTTCAAGATTTTATTAAAGACGGACTAAAAGTTCATTTTGCTAAAACTTATGATGATGTCTTTAAAATTATATTTGCTGATGAATAAACTAAAAAAAATGATATCCGTGTGTAAACAAAACAAAAACTGTTGAATTGTTTTTTTTTTGCATAGTCAATAGTTTGTTTTTTCTTTTGTGTTCGTTGTTATTCAGTTTCTTTTTTCATTCTTTAATACATTATATGTGGCAGCTTTTGGTTAATTAAGATAACGAAAAACAAAATGTCTAAATTATAATTTGCAATATAATGAACAAGCAGGTGATGATCATACGACAAATATTCATTAGGGGTCTACCCCTTTGTATTTTGATTTCTGACGTCATTCTAGTTTGTTTTTCTGCTTCCGACAAAAAGACTTGAAGGAAAAGAGTAAAAGAGAGAGAGAGAAAGACGAAGGGAGCGAGAAAAGAAAAGAAGCGATTGACACAGGGCTCCTACTTGTCTGGAAGCAATCAGCAGTGTGATGTGAGCAAAGAACATTTGCTTGTTGCTCTTTATTATTCTTCACAAGAGAAAAAAATTGATTGGCATTGGTTGGTGATGTTTCTCTTTGTTTGCATATACTTTCTCCCCCCTCTCTTCTCCTTGTACAATCGTAGCAAAAAAACATCGAGGTGTGTTTATAAATCATGATTTTCTTTTACCACAATCATTTGCATTATTGAGGTAAGAAAGGAAAGACGAAATTTCTGAAAAAACAAAAAAATAAGGGAGGACAAAATAGTGGTCTTGTTGAAAGATAGAAACATTGGTTTTATTTTGTATTGTTTTGTATTTCCAGATATGTCGATCCTATCACGAGCAGTGTGTAATCACACGGGATCATTAAAATTAAATTCTGGAATCAGTCCTATATATCGTGTTGCACGTAATTTGAACAGTGAAAGTCATCAAGACGATGAAGGGTACTTTTTTGTTTGAAATTTTATATTTTTACTTTTTTTCAATACAAATTTGTTTTTCTCCAAAAGAACTGGTTTTTATACTATGGTAGAAAAGTTTTATGATCGTGCTGCAAAAATTCTTGAAGATAAATTAGTTCATGATATGCACAGATTAAAATTAAGCGAAGAACAAAAACGTATTAAAGTACGAGGAATATTAACAATGATGAAACCACCAAATTATGTTTTGGCTATGACATTTCCTGTTCGACGTGATAATGGTGAATGGGAATTAATTGAAGCATGGCGTGCTCAACATTCATTACATCGAACTCCATGTAAAGGTGGTATTCGATATTCGATGGATGTTAATTTAGATGAAGTTAAAGCATTAGCTGCTTTAATGACATTTAAATGTGCTTGTGTTAATGTTCCATTTGGTGGAGCTAAAGCCGGTGTAAGAATTAATCCAAAAGGTAAACAGGATATTCTTTTGTTTTTGTTTTAAGTAAACCTTTTTCTGTTGCATTTTATAGAATGGTCTGAAGGAGAATTAGAACGTATTACTCGAAGATTAACAGTTGAATTAGCTAAAAAAGGTTTTATTGGACCTGGTATTGATGTTCCAGCACCAGATATGGGTACTGGCGAACGTGAAATGGCTTGGATTGCTGATACATATGCATCAACTGTTGGTTGGGAAGATTTAAATGCATATGCATGTATTACTGGTAAACCTATATTACAAGGTGGTATACATGGACGAACATCAGCTACAGGTCGTGGTTTATATCATGGTGTGAATAATTTTTTAAATGAAAAATTTTATATGGATAGAATTGGTTTATCAACTGGTTTAGCTGGAAAAACATTTATTGTTCAAGTAATTAAAAGAAAAAAATTAAAGAAATTTAATTAAAATGTTGACTGGTTTTTTTTAGGGTGCGGGTAATGTTGGTTATCATTCTATGCGCTATTTATCACGATATGGTGCAAAATGTATTGGTGTACTTGAATGGGATGGAGCTATTGTTAATTCAGATGGTATTGATCCACTAGCATTAGAAGAATATAAATTTCAAAAGGGAACTATTGTTGGATTTCCCGGTGCAAAACCTTATGATAAACAACCGAAAGAAGAATTACTTTGTGAACCATGCGATATTCTTATACCAGCTGCAAGTGAACAACAAATAACATCAAAGAATGCTAGACGAATTAAAGCTAAGGTTAGTTTTCATGTGACTGTTTTTGTTTACGAAACAAGTTTTGTTATTTAGATCGTTGCTGAAGGTGCTAATGGACCGACAACACCAACAGCAGATCAAATTCTTCTTGAAAAAAATGTCTTAGTTATTCCCGATATGTATATTGTAAGTACTTATTTTCTAGAAAAAGAATTTTATTTATTAATATTTACTATCATAAAGAATGCTGGTGGTGTAACAGTATCATATTTTGAATGGCTTAAGAATCTTCAACATACATCATATGGTCGATTGACATTTAAATATCAACGAGATACAAATTATTCACTTCTTGGTAGAATTTATTTTCGTAATTTTTTCTTAAACGAATTGTTTTTGTATTTTTCATGTAGAAAGTGTTCAAAGTTCATTAGAAACTAAATTTGGTAAAATGGGAGGAAAAATTCCAATTGTAAGTAACGATTATAATTTTAATGAAAAAAGAAACAAACAACAATTTCATTAATAGATTCCCAGTGAAAAATTCTATAAACGTATGGCTGGTGCATCTGAAAAAGATATCGTGCATTCAGGTCTTGAACAAACAATGGAAAAATCTGCACGTGCTATTATGCAAACAGCTCAAACTTATAATTTAGGTTTAGATTTACGTACAGCTGCATATGTAACATCATTAGAAAAAATTTATAATGTCTATTCAGCTGCTGGTATGACATTTGGTGTTTAATTGTGAATAAGTATGACTAACAATCAGATATATACATCGACATAAACAAGCTGAAATTTTTCATTTCTTTTTTTTTTTGTGAAGTAATGACAGTTAAAGAAAAAAAATAGTTTCTTTGTTGTATACTTTTTAGTTTTCCAAATTTATTTTAATGAACAAAAATTTGACCGATCCAATTTTGAATGAATGTATTTTTAGATAAAAAGAAAAAAAAATGTTGAAAATAAATTCACGTCATCATAAAACATTACAACAAGTATCAAGATATTCGATTATACGTTTTTCATCTCATACATCAACACATCAACAAAATGAACAAGCACATTTTGGTTTTTATCGTCAAGTTGAATTATTTTATGATCGTGCTGCAAAAATTCTTGAAGATAAATTAGTTGCTGATATGCAAAGGTCAAAATTATCTGATGACGTGAAACATAAAAAAGTACGAGGAATATTAAAAATTATTAAACCATGTAATCATGTTTTGGAAATTCGATTTCCTATACGACGAGATAACGGAGAATTACATATGATTGAAGCATATCGTGCTCAACATTCACAACATCGCACACCATGTAAAGGTGGTATTCGATATTCTATGGATGTTAATTTAGATGAAGTTAAAGCATTAGCTGCTTTAATGACATATAAATGTGCTTGTGTTGATGTACCATTTGGTGGTGGAAAAGCTGGTGTCAAAATTAATCCAAAAGGTAAACAAGATATTCTTTTGTTTTTGTTTTTTAAGTAAACCTTTTTTTTCTATTACATTTTATAGAATGGTCTGAAACAGAATTAGAACGTATTACTCGAAGATTCACAGTTGAATTAGCTAAAAAAGGTTTTATTGGACCTGGTATTGATGTTCCAGCACCAGATATGGGTACTGGCGAACGTGAAATGGCTTGGATTGCTGATACATATGCATCAACTGTTGGCTGGGAAGATATTCATGCATATGGTTGTGTTACAGGTAAACCAATTCTTAGTGGTGGTATTCATGGTCGAACATCGGCTACAGGTCGTGGTTTATATCATGGTGTAGATAATTTTGTTAATGAAGCGTCATTTATGTATGTATAAAAGAAAACATCGTTATTTTTCTTTTTGAATTAATTGCAAAAATTTAATTTTTTACTCAGGGGAATGGTTGGTCTTTTACCTGGTCTTGCTGGTAAAACATTTATTCTTCAAGTAATTACAAGAAAAAATTAATAAGGAAATTCTATCGCAATTTTAAATTTTCCTTTTTTTCAAGGGCGTTGGTAATGTCGGTTATCATTCTATGCGTTATTTAACTCGACATGGTGCGAAATGTGTTGGTATACTTGAATGGGATTGTGCTATTGTTAATCCAGATGGAATTGATCCAAAAGCCTTAGAAGAGTATAAATTAGAGAATGGCACAATTAAAGGTTTTCCAGGTGCTCAGCCCTATGATAAAGAACCAAAAGAAGAATTACTTTGCGAAGCATGTGATATTCTTATACCAGCTGCAAGTGAACGACAGATTACAACTGAAAATGCACCACGTATAAAAGCTCGAATTATTGCTGAAGTAAAACATTTTGTTTTTGTTTTATTCTTATAAAATATAAAAGTGTTGTTTTATTTTGTAGGGTGCTAATGGTCCAATAACACCAGAAGCTGATGCAATTTTATTGCAGAATAATGTACTTGTTATTCCAGGTATAACAAAAACGATATAGTTTTAAAAAAAGAATTTCTTTTTGTAAATAATTTCTATAGATTTATATATCAATGCTGGTGGTGTAACTGTTTCTTATTTTGAATGGTTAAAAAACTTAAGTCATGTCAGTTATGGTCGATTAACATTTAAATATCAACGTGATACTAATTATTCGTTACTTGGTATATTTTTCGAATAGAAATTTGTTTTTAAATTTCTTTGTTTTACTTTATATAGAATCCGTACAAAGTTCATTAGAAGCTAAATTTGGTCGCATGGTAAATAGTCTATTTTTTTTTTGTCTTTTTTCACTACTCTAAATTCATCATACTTTTCTTAGGGTGGAAAAATTCCAATTGTAAGTAGATAATTTTGTTTTCTTCTTTTTCGAAAAACTATTTATAATAAATAATATCTTAGTTACCAAGTGATGAATTTTTTAAACGTATGGCTGGTGCATCTGAAAAAGATATCGTACATTCTGGTCTTGAACAAACAATGGAAAAATCTGCACGTGCTATTATGCAAACAGCAATGCGCTATAATCTTGGACTTGATATTCGTACAGCAGCATATGTAAATGCTATTGAAAAAATCTTTCATGTTTATGCTAGTGCTGGTATTGCATTTGGATCATAAATTGATTATATTTCGTTTTTGTGAAATAGTTTTCTCTTCTTCTTTTTTTTTTTTTTTTTGAGATATAGAGTAAAAGGGTGAATTCTTTTTTTCTTTTCATTGTATCAGTTCGTATTATTAATTTTTTGTCATTCCCGATTAAATTTTATTTTTTACATGATTTATTTTCAAATAGTTTGTTTTTTACTTATTGACAAAAAAATAAAACTGATTCAAATTGATTTATGTTAAATAAAATTTGCAAGTATAATTATATTTATAAAGAAGATACTTTGCATTGAATATATTTAATTGTAAGAAGAAGACAATGTTCAAGTTAGGATGGTCTATCGTGATTGCAATTATTCTTCTAGTTATTACAATTAATCTTGCTTTGTTACCATTATATTTACGTAAAGTATCACATGTGAATGAATGTAATGAATTTTCATTAGAAATATTTACTATAAGTGGTATTGATATGAAGCAATTTAATCCAATGTTTATTAATTTAATTATTCGTCCAAATAATGTTTCATTTAATACATTTCTAATTTTTCATAATGATGAAATGATTTCATACAAAAATTATGTTTATAATAAAAATCAAAATTCATATCATATTCAAATGAAATTTACTAAAGATGGTTTACAACATTTAGAAATGATTGGTATAGATTCGAATAATAATACTTTATATGAAGATTTTCAATTTTGGACTGGTTCTAATAAATTTAAAGTACGAGTTATTAATGAATATAAACAATTAGTTAAACAAATTCCTGTAGGTCTTCAATTAATTGAAGATGATATAATACAAATAATTGACATAACAGATAAGAATGGAGAAGTTTTATTTGAAAATATTCCATCACGAAATGTTCGAATAGAAAGTAGTTCGAATGACAATATGTATGCTATTAAAGCAGTAATAGGACCTTCAATTCAAAATGAATTACAATTAAAAGGATTTAACAGAGTTAGTTTAATTGATAATGAAAATTTGCAAGGATGGATATTTAGTAATAATACTTATGTGTCATTGATTCCAGCTGAAGTCAAACCGGTAAACATATTTAATTCAATAAATGAATATTATGATATCAATTTTGTTTTTAGGTTGAACAATTAATTAATTATATCAATGTAAATATAAGTACTCGTCGAGGTGAACAAACTATTTCTCGAACATTTGAAACTAAACCGAATACTAAATCAGTTAAAATACGTTATCGTTTTATTATTAATGGAGTATTAAATCAATCTATTTATCTGTTAGTTAATGATTATTTTCATCTTACATTACGTTCAAAAAAAAGTTTAACTCGTAGATCACTTTTATTATCATTAGATATGTTTGTAACTATGTCTGAATGGATGGAATTAAGTATACCTGTAACTATTCAACCAGATATTATTCAAATAGATATTACTATAAAAACAATTATTAATCGTTTATTTAATTTAAACTTTCAAATAGATTCTATAGAAGAAATTTCATTAGCTATAATGACTTTTGAATTGAAGAAAACATTAGAAAATTCAACTAAATTTGAAAATTTAAGATTTTTAAGTATTCATGCTACGAATTCTAATCAATCATCAAGTATTAAAATTCATGGTTCTCTAGTTATTCATGGAAATTCTTATTTATCATTAAAAAATATAATACTTGAAATAATTCAACAAAGTAAGAAAGTGGCTACAGGTAACTTAACATCAGTTGCATCTGAAAAACTTCTTAATAAATCTTTTGGATCTACTGGTATTTTAAATGTAACAAATATACTTTTATTTGAACTAAATAATGATCAAATTACTACATTAATAAAAATTAAAAAAGATGGATCGGTTATATTTCGTGTTCGTATTATTTCTAATAATAATGAAGAAATAACTGCTGATAATTTAATACCAATTAAGTTATTAATATATTTTATTGAAAATCAAAATCAAAATGGAAATAATAATTGGATTTTGCCAAGTATTCAAAAATTTATTAATTATCTAAAAGAATCAAGTAAAATAAAAAATGTTACAAATCGTTTACATGACATATCACAGAAGAGTGATGATGGATATTTCTCTGATTCAGCAAAAAGCAAGATGGCAGTATGGCATTAAAGAACTTTTATCAACTATATGTTTTCTTTGAATTATATGATATCAAATCATTTTTAACAAACTCATTTTCTTTCTATCTTACTTATTTTAATGTTATTTCTCTTGAAACTATTTAATAATGTAGAGATTACGCTAAACATTTCAGCCCTATGCCTATCTCTGTGTAAGATAGTTACCATATGGCTGTATAGGATAACATAAAAGGGCGCCTACACATAAGGATTCAAATTAACTTAAGAGTAGTATTCCAGGACGAAGAATAGGAAATTCGTATATACTCCCTACTTTTCTGTTTTACACGGTTGAGTATTTTCTTCGACACAGGATGCTTTTAGGAGTGACGAATTTTGTTATTAAACGATTGAAGGGTTTGACCGATTGTTCAATGCTGAATACATAAGGATGTCAATGTAAAAAATAATTGCGAGTTAGAGAATGAGTGTGAACATATGATTATGATTAACTAAAATCATATTACATTCATTTTTGTGCAATACAAATAGTGCATATATAAAAAATTGTATTGATTTCTATTGCATTTTCATAAATAGCATATAGCATATGTTTTATTCCAAACATGAAGAAGAAGACACAGAATACTACGAATGATCAAAATTCGGAAAGGTTTTCAATTTCAAGTTTTTCATTTAAAACATTCAAACTTACTTTAGATCATATCATCTCTAAAAAACAATGTATTGAACGGTTTTTATCACCTGACTTAATGACCATTTGATATTAAAAGGCAAATTTGGAGAAAAATATATAAGATCAACAACGAAAGTTGTTATAAGTGCAATTATCAACAAATTTCACAAAACTTTGACTGAAAAACCAATAACATTACACTTATAAAATGAACACTATTCGTCAAGTGTAGCATATTCAAAATCCATTTTTATTAATAAGCATACAGAGCAAATTTTATATAAAGCCAAAAATTGCTTTTGTGAAACAAATCACTGTCATATGTCAATTCACGTCTTGAGTTTATCTAGTGCTTAGTACACGTTTATATTTACATGCGCATATATTCATATTCCTATCCTGTTAGTCTATGACCAAGTAAAACGAGTCTTGATAAATGTTACTCGTTATCTAGAAGTTTCTGAATAGTTTCTTGAAACTCATGATCAATATTTTTCACGTATACGCTGTAGGCCAATTCTAGCTTTTACTAGACAAAACTGATATTCCGGTTGTGACTGATAATTATCTAGTCAATATTAGAATTTCAATTCAAGGTGTGTGTACATGTTTGCAGATGAAAAGCAGACCCACAGCTCAAACCTTATTTTGCTAGTGCATCAATTATTTCATGATCTTTATGAAAAGTCGACGATTATGCATGTAATATTATTCTACATGGTTTACAATCAATCGATCCTGTATAAATATCATCTCGAATAGTAGAATATCCCAAATATTTCATATGTAAACTAATTTTATGTTGTTTGCTTGTTAGGGTATGGGTGTTATTTGTATATATAGGTCGATCTTAACATGATGCATTTTCTTCAATCGGTACGTGAACAAATATTGGATAAGGTGCATGAAGATGCCCATGAGCAAGAACTAAATAAAAAAGGTGATCTAAATCAAATCGATTACAATATCGAGTATTTTCAAATTTTTTGCCAAAATTTCGCTCCATTGTTCTGTTTGTGCTTCAGTCAGTGGTAATTCTTATTTAAAATATTATCTGTTTCGCATTTTTCAAACCCGTTTTTAACTTGTTCCGGAGCTTCATAAACATCAGTTGAAACATAATCGTCTTAATTAGCAACAATATAATTTTTTGAGTTATATTTGTACAACTTGAAAATTATCATCAGATGATGAATAACGATGATTATCTGATAGATGTTAATAATACTATCGAACAATCACTGAATGCCATGGTACAGAAAAATAACAAAGACGAGAAAATGTGTGGTACATGCAATATTTGTAAGAAGAATAAATAACCCTTCCTTTAAAAAATTTAACAGTTAAAAGCAAAAACAGAGACTAAAATATTTTTTTCATTCGAATAGTTGTTTACAACGTTCATATAATCCATATGTTCAAGAGGGTTTTTTCAAGTTAACTTGTATCATGTAACTTATTTTTACAATTCGACTGTTAAAAAAAAAGATTTTCTATTCTATTCGTTTTCCAGAATAAATGATTTGTTTATCTTTATTGTGAAATATAAGCATATCATTTCGATTTATTTTATAAAAATAAATTAACATTCCAATAATAGGAATTATGAAATACATAGAATTTTTATGCCGTTAATAAGGAACAGTCAGTGAAAAAAAGGGTTCAAAGTTCAAATCAGACCTTCAAAATACTGCATAAATGCTGAAAAAATTTCCGACCTATTGTTGAACAGTATATCCTGTTGCATATTTTCATGTTTTTCTTTTTAATATATATCAAACCACATTAATTAAAGATAGTCACAAATTGGTGATTGATAAAAAAAACTTGCCTGCAACTCGTGCACATCAAGAAAAGTATTATTTCGGTTAACAAATGTGAAATAATTCTCATCATAATATCTGGTGGATCATAGAAAAAATTTGTTATTTAGAGAAAAAACAGATTTTTACAAAATAGTATTTTATTTCATGATTTATCATTCTTCACAAATAGTAACTGGAAGTTTAGAAAATGATTCTGTTGTTAGCAAACAAGCTACAGTATTTTCATACATTTTCACTCAATTCTTATCGTCACGCTTTATCTTTTCGTGACTACATTATATTTTTGAGAAGTACCCATATTCTCTAATGCTGTATCTCAAATTTTGAATGGTGTTTATATAAATAAGACATTTTTTATCCATTAATCACTTGTCCAGATTTCTCGGCAAATAACTATGAACATAGTATAAAAACTTAAGTTTTCTATCAATGTTGATTAGAGAACCTCTACAGGAGCAGATAAAAAGAGTAGAAATTTACATTTTCGATTATTATTTGTTGTTCATATCAGAGAAGATCTCGATATACTATTGACTATTGTTGTATAGCTTAAAACATTTTCAATGATTTTCCAATGGAAATTTAACTTATTGTTAGATGAAATATATGTAAAATATACATTGGTTCAAGAAGGTTAGCCATATTGATTATGAGTCAACTGCAGAGATATCTATATCCACTTTGAACTACTTTGCTTTAATACAAACAATTAAATGATAAAAATAAAATAAAATGAACTTAATTTAATATGAAAGACACTTCGATCAAACATAAGTATCATTCATAGTTTGTACAATTTAATGTCTCTTAATTATAACAATTAGCTTTAACTAGTGTGTAATCGATGGCAAGAGTCAAGTTTCTCCTACTTAGTTTCTTCAATTACGAAACAACCATGTAAGAACAAAACAGTACATGAGATTCTTAAGTTACAAAGTAGTTTTCTCTAATGTAGTCCGTTGACATTTTAACTGGCCAAGGACAAAAATGGTTTAATATTATTTATATTGACGAACGTACCTTTGTTCATAATGTTTTCAACAAATACACCATAGGAAAGTTTTTAATGATTGCATTTCAAAATGAAACTTTTTAGACGTAATGACATTCATGATAAAATATCATATCGGATCTACGTGAAAAACAGCAGACTTGAACACTTAGGAGTTTTTCTTCAGAGGTGAAAAGAATTTTCAGAGGCTTCAAGATCAGTATGGGACCTGCTATGTAATTTACTCCTTGGTTGAATTCCAGACGCGATATCACGAACATATATGATAGCTTTATGAACTCTATCACTTTTTCTGAAACTGACACTGCATTATATAAACGACGTCATAATAAACCAACAGGTGAGTCAAGGATCCCAAAACGAAACTAACACCATCGCGAAGAAACCACAACCAAGATAAATTCTACTTCATAAAGAGCTAAAATAAATCGACCAAGCTAGGTAATAATGTCGATAAGAGTGTTCTTGTTGAGTGTGGTTGTAGCTGTCGCTATTCTTGATAATGTGAACGTAAGTTTGATGTTTCTTTTGAACATACTCGTGTCCTATATACAATAGAGTTTATGAAAATTAATATCCAGTATATACAACAAAATTTTTATCATGTTTAGGAGTCGAATTATCAGTTTCAATAATATTACTTCGGTCGAAAAATAATTTAATAACTAACTTGTAATATTGTATTATACATGCATTCTATGGATTTAAATTACTTTATAATCTATTCATGTACTGATCACTTGAATAGGAGTATAGACGCATTTCATCTTGGAAAAATATACGTTATCATCTGCATTGCATTAAAAATTAATTTTGACTAACGTTCACTTCAAAATACGACATATTGCTTGACAGATTTCTTTTTCGGTTGAGAAATACTATGCAGAAATAGAACAGTATGCACTCAATCCTTTATGTCATTCTTAATAGAGAATATAACTTCAGAAGTTATGGTGAACGACAGGAGTTCTTGAGATACTTTTCTGATAAAGTATGCATCACCCATTCCAATACAATTACTTTCTGCAGACGCATATTACCTCTTTCTTTTCATTGTTATGTTCTAAGTTATGAGAAAGTAGCAAAATTCCTTGTGTGTGAGTCTTTTTTCCGGACGTTTTATGTAGCGAGATACGCAACGAAGCTTTATGACCTGTTACGTGCTTTTCTAGTGTGCTCAACATAATTCAACGTCCTATTACAACGAAACTAGCATAGAACTATGGAAGATCTACTATTTTCGCATCGTCACTACCGTCCTTATGTAGATCATACCCACAATAACTTTCCTATCGCTCCAGCGTGCTCTGTCCTGTGTGTACCCTTCAGACTAACGTTGGAGCTCATTGATCGAGGGCTTCCGCAGTGCAGAGCAAAGAAAACCTGGAGAATGTATCGCAGTGAGAACGAGTTTATCGAACAAACCAAAGTACTAACATATTTACCTTCTTGTTTTTACATAGTCAGTACTGTATATCACTTGTTTTGTATAAGGATGCGCTGGTAGAAGTGTTTCTTGTTGGATAGCAAGTGCTTTTTCTAAAAACGAAAATGCTTTCGAGTAGTGACCCATATCGTTATACACTAGACCGATGCTGCCGTAGGATGTAGCCAATTAGGGATAATTTGGAGGCAGAGTTGTTGTCCTGATTTCCAGACATTTTTGGTAAAATTCAAGTGATTTCGAATAGTCACCAATGTCTTCATACACTCCATCGATGTTCTGGTAAGTAGGAACCAATAAAGGATGGTTTTTCGGGTGTATTTTGCGCCTGATTTCCAGGGAGTTTTGGAAGTATAAAATAGATTCTTTGTATAGCCTTTGTTGCTGTTTCAAGCATCTAAAGCGGTGATAGATATATGCTCTATGACTGTGGTTGAATTTCTGCTTCACTAGTGCGGCATACAATTCTTTAGCCCTATTAAATTGAGCTATTTTCAGCAGTAATACACCTAACCTCTTCAATTCAGTCCCATCTGCAAGTTCTTCTCGTATACGGTCTGTGAGTCGACGAAGTTGTTGATCGTCATCTGACGTGAGCCCGAGGTCTACTTGATAAAGTGGACGATTGTTATCAATTTTTTGGATTTCGCCAATACGAAAGACGGTGTGCATGGAGAATAGACTTTTTGCTTCTGTTTTGTAATAGCTCACTTCTCGTATAAGGCGAATGGAGTTGGTGAAACGGTGGAATTAATGGATATATGGAAAAGGATACCTACCATATCAGTTTTGGCTAAAGTACCTTTACCGAATCGAAGGAACACGTCTCGATTTTCACTCGCCGATAGAAAGCTATTAAAGGATATCAGTGCCTCTTTGTTTTTCTCCAGTTTATCAAAGTCGACTGTCGACAAGCCTTGTCCTCTGAAAACTGTGAAGGCCCTCGCATGATAGAGACTGGTCTATTATTTGTGTAAAGTTTTGATTTGCCTATGCAGATCACAAAGAAAGAAACCCATATTAATAATGATATCGCTATCAAGTGTTCGTAATGCTCGATTCAGCATATTGTAGGTGAAGCATTGACGTGTAATACCACCAAATAGCCGACGGTGGACGATAAGTACGTTCGAACTCATTAATAATATTTAGTTCCTTGACATTGCCCTGGTACAAATGACGGAAAGAGTTGACCAAATCTGTAATGGCTTGTGGACCATGTTTCATTTCAAGAAGGATTTCCTTGAATATTTGAGAATTATATGAATGATGATTCCAGTGGATTAGGAAAATATGTAAATGCTATCGAGATGTGGAATACCATGAATAAGGGACGCTCTATGTTCATCCATAGAATTCGCTATAATCAAAAATGCCTTCACATCATCGACTTCAGTGAGGAAGTCAACACATTCATCCGATTCGATGAAAATGTTGACATTGTTAACAACACTTTGCAATGGTGCGTGTGTGTTGAGATACTTGACTAACTTGAACATTATTTGCTGTCCAACCATATAAGTACAAAATTTTGAGCTATACGCTGTGGCAGTTGAACAGTGAGAGATGATGCTTTTGTATTCGTAGCAGCAGCCATTGGTTATGTAGAAATTGTTTGTGCTGACTTTTGTTCACTCATACAGAAAATGAATTGTTGTTTGGTCGTCAATCGAGAATGGTGAATAAATGTCTGTTGTTTCGACAGAAATAATCTTTCTATTTATATAGATGTTGCCTTATTCTTTCTTTTCTAAATTTTTGCACAAACTCAGATGTAGTTCTCGTTGTTGACATTCAACGACAAACTTGATCTAGTATCGATTGAAAATACGGTTGTGAGCAACAAACAAACGAACAAGAAAAATTCCAACAGCGTCATTTATTTTACAGTTCATTTTTCCAACTTCGATTTTCTTTTCATTTGCACAATAGTTTGAGTGTCTGTGCGTGGCATACCTGCTCCCATTTGAAGGGTGTCGAAAAACAACGCTGTTCGTTGTTTGTTTTTCATTGATTCTTTCAAAACGATTTTCTTTCTCTTCGTGAAAAGAATGCAAAAAAAAACATTTTAGTTCGCTTGTTTTCAGTATCTATGTGGTTTACTTCCCAATAATGTGAATGAAGCTAAAACACAAATTTAATTGTGACCCAAGTAATATTGAAAGAATGATTTTGACTTGCTAAACATACTGGTGCTGATGAAAAAATTATTCAAGTACAAAAGGCTGTTGTCATTGTAATTTACTGTCATAAATATGCATTGCACGTCATACTTGCTGAATAACTATTCTTTTCGCTAATTCTTTTCTCATCTTGATTGAGAGTGTCGATGAGGCTGGTATTCTGAATTTACCGTCACTGTGACCCGAGCTAATGTAGCAGATGCAGTAGGATCAATGGTCAACTTTACATTTTCTCAATACCTTGGTGAGTTTTCATTGATTCTATCAGCATCCTTTTTTTTATAGATTCAGTCTTTAATTCCTCATGAAACCATCCCTAAATTTTTTCTAGAAATTGATAACGGAAAAAATTAGTGGAAAAATAATGAGAACATAATATGTGTATAATATGTCAGACAAAATACAGTAATTGATTTCCATTCTTCTCACAAAATCTTCATACAATAAAAGCTATAGAAAATTTACTTTTTTTGGGCTTAGGTACAAAACTGAGCATCTCATCTTGTTATTTTAAATTAGCTAAGTAAAAAAGAATATTCAACGAGGCAAATATTGTCTGCATCAGTATCGTTCATTTTCCATCAAAATAGACGAAAGTCGATTTAAAAGGTTGAATTTCGATGGAGCTATATCGGTTTTCTGAGAACAAGGAAAATCATGATTCGAAAAATTGTTATTTTTCGAAAATAGGAAAGAACAAAGTTAATTTCGTGNCTGCAAGAATAAAGGATTCAGAACTCATTCAGACCATTTTTGGAAGCATTTCCTCAACATCTGTAGCTCTGACATTTCTACTATCGATCGCACAATGCCATTTCAATGTTAACAACCGATGTCGTGTGTATGAAAACTGCACTTGCAGGACAGATACAGATTTTTGAGAGCTACAAGTTAATTATAAATTATCAAACAAAATGTACTGTGTTCTGAATTTTCCAAAGACCACACTATCGAAACTCTATGGCAAAACTAGTGGATGGCATAGTACGGTTCGCACGTTCTCTACTATCGCTCATAATACCATCATCATTTTTCCTGTGTCGATAGAGCTTTTTTCGAGTTTCAAAACGATTACAAGACATGAAGGAAAATTTGCTGTGTTCGGAAATTTCCAAAGACCACACTATCAAAATTCAATTGGAAAACAAATAGATAACATAGTATGGTGCACAGGTTCTGAACTTCCTGTCATGGAACTGTTATCAATTTTCGGACGGAAAGATACTGGACGGAGACCTAAACATGTACTGAGGGGGTTAGACTTACTAACCCCCTCAGCATATGTTTAGGTCTTCGTCCAGTATGTTTCCGTCCGAAAATTCATAGCAGTTCGATGACAGAAAGTCCAGAACCCGTGCAGCATACTATGTCGTCTATTTGTTTTACCATTGAATATTGATAGTGTGGTCTTTGGAAATTTCCGAGCACAGCAAATTTTGCTTAATGTCTTGTGATCGTTTTGCAGCTCTCGAAAATCTGTATCTGCACAGAAAAATGGCGATATTATCATGAGCGATAGTGGAAATCGTGCGGACCGCACTATACCATCCATTAGTTTTGCCATAGAGTTTCGATAGTATGATGTTTGGAAAATTCATAACACAGTGCATTTTGTTTGATAATTTATAATTAACTTGTAGCTCTCAAAAATTTGTATCTGTCCTGCAAGTGCAGTTTTCATACACACGACATCGGTTGTTAACATTGAAATGGCATTGTGCGATCGATAGTAGAAATGTCAGAGCTACAGATGTTGAGGAAATGCTTCCAAAAATGGTCTGAATGAGTTCTGAATCCTTTATTCTTGCAGAGGCCAGCATAAAATTCAAATTTAGAACACGATTTGAAGTGGTTTTTATTTAGGACCATTTTGTGTGCAAACCGTCTCCCGTCCTTTATATGTGATTTCATATATTACAAGAGCAAGTAACCACATAATACACTAACACCAAAAGCAGCTAATTGAACGATTCGTTTTAGTTTATGTCTTTTTTTCTGACAATTATCCTTTGGTCTATGGTTAGTTATTAAATCATTTGATAGAATATATGATATTAGTTTTTTTTTCAGTTCAGTTAATGAAATCATTTTTAAATCATGACTTTCATTTAATATCGTATTTGTTGTACATTGTTCGATGGAACGTTGCTGATTTATTGTTGTTTGTTTTGTTGTTAATTGAATATTAAAATTAATTGCATGTAAGATGATAGGACGATTAGATAATTTTAATGGAATATGTGGAATCATGATGGAAGGATCAAGCTGATGTAGTGAGAATTTTCTTAATGAAGATAGTGATGAATAATTCGAAAGAGATGATTCAATAGTTTTTGTTTGAACATTTTTTAATTGATCTTCAAATGCATTGAAAATAATATCAACAATTGGTTGAACCATTTGAACAGCAGTTTCCATTGAATTTGAGTTATTTATTAACATATCATTATTGACGGATAACGATAATGATTCTTGTTGATCTAATTGATTGATATCAATAGTATCATCATCGATAAATATTGGTGAATTTAACGAACGATGATTTGAAATGATAGAATCATCAATCGACAATCGTGCTCGTTTTGCTGGTCTCTGATAGTCTAGAAATATTGTGGAAACAAAGAACTATGATTTTAAACTTTTAGAATCAATTATTAAAAACTAAATTGATTCTTTTCGATCCGAAATTTTGAAAGAGCATCAAATTCTGCATCTGTTGGTAACTAATTCACTAGAATCCAAAAACAAAACGCTTTTTTCAATGATCTTGAAGTTTCCATAGATGAAAAATGCAAGTCATTTTTCGACAGAGAAAGCTACTTCATTTTTACTTCAGAAATGAACGTACGTGTTAATTGTAGATTATTGATAGATGATTGGTTAGTATTAATATGTTTTTCATTATTTGGATCGGGTAATATGTCGAATGTTTTAATTTGTGAAAATTGACTTGAGAGACTCTCACATGATAATGTATTATATTTTCTTTTTTTCTTTTCTATATTTAATGTTGTTACATGATTATTGTTTAGATCACCAGTTGTTTGAATAGAACTGTATGATATCGATGGACAATAGAAAGCACTTTCAGTCGTTAAACTTTCCGACAGTACTGTACGTGATAAAATATTCGAATGATCATCAGTCGGTTTGATTGGATAAGTATAAATAGTCGATCTGTAAGGAGGTCTGACGTCATTATTAATAATTGAAGATGTAACAGGTACATGATTGGATTTAAATCGAGTTGATGGCCGCTTCCATGAACGAAGACGTTTTCGATATAAGCCATTAGTGTCATCATTGTTGGTATGTTTTGTTTCAGAAGATAAAGGAACATGATCTTTGGCGTTGGATCTTTGTCTCATTTAGTGATTTTTATTTTCTTGTGTAAAGTTTAAATCAAGATTTAAATTAGGAAAAAATAATTATCAAAATATATATTTAATATGGCGGGGATTAGAAATAATTTTCTTTTTTTCGATAAATTATGTCAACTACTTTGTGTCGTGGTGTTCTAGAGAATGGCCAGTCGCTAAAAATTCGTTCGAACTACGCCAGGAAGACTCGTCTCTCGAGATGATACAAAAACCGTCTTCAGTAAGTTTCACAAAACGGTAGTTTTGACGACAAACCCTCCATCTTGTGCTCAAGATAATTAAAAGTGCGTCTCCAACCAGCTGTTGTGAGCAGGAGAGAATCGACATTGAAACTCTGCTGCCGAAAATTGAGATCGATTCGCACCACATTTATGTAGTCCTTTACGAGTTTTCTTTCTGTTTGTCACTTAGTAGACAAACATGTCAAAAGTTATCATTTTCTGTTGCGACGGTCTCGAGAATGGAGAGTCAGGAAATACGCAGATAGGGTTTGATATAGCGCGTTGTTCTGAATTTCATCTTATCTCATATATTATAACAAGAATTTCAACTTAGAACAGGCGCACAACAATTCGCAAAAATAAGTGGTTGTCCACTATGTAGTTGAATTATTTTGATATCTACTGTACTTTATTCTCGTCAATTAACAACCAGTAAATCTTGTCTATTCAAACCATACATGTCCAAAAGTATTTCTTCAAATGAAAGAATGATCTATCGACAATATATATAGTTTACCCTTGATTTTTAAATATTATCCTTCACAAACACTAACAAGTTCTAATTCATCATTATTTATTGCTCGAGAACAACACCGATTTGAATCAAATTGAATAACAAATAAAATAAATATTTATCATTCAATACTACCAATTGTTGTACAAAATATTTTTGGCAATAATAAAGCCACCAAATACATACAATGAATCAACATTGCCAAATATTTATTTGAGAAGTATTTGTATAGCTCAAGCTATTGCTGAACATAATCATTATGACATGGATAAAATACCTTAATTTGTTCTACGGCATAAAAAAAAATGTTGATAAAATGGGACAATTATGTCCAACATGGTTTGATGAATACGATTATCGTTGTATGCATTGTTTTAGTTATGATCACATATTTACATCATAACAATTTATGACACATAATTGATGATAAACAAATAACAAATATACAACGACTAACATCGGAAAAATTATTCGACTATAAAGTTAGAATGTAAGTTTGAAATATTAGTTTATCGACTATTTTTTGTTACTCTTTAGATGAAATGATTTTTATCAAATTTAACTAAGTATACAAGGTAAATGAAACAAAATTGATAGATTTCGTTATTCAATATATTAGAAGAAAATAAAGATTATTATTAGATATAATGTATTCTTCAACTTATTTTGTATGAATAAGCATGTCAGACTACAAATGTCTGATAGAATCCCTTTTTTTAGGCTCTTATTTTCTATGCGAGCAAAAAAAAGATGACAAAATCAACGATTCTATGATGATGCACGAAGAGAAAATGAGACAAAAAAAAGGTTTGTAACTTTTTTCTGAATAAAGTATATTTTTCAACCAGAAGGTGACAGAATCATCGAAAATTTTGAAAAGAAATCAACGTGCCAATTAAAAACTCATATTGTCTGTGACGGATCCGCCGATGTCGAGCTATTTTACCATGCATTTTTCTCTTAATTTCAATATCTTCTGATGAGAATAGGTTTTTTTGAGGAGGGCTTAAAAAACTCTAT